CTTGTGCTCTGGTGCTCTTAGCTCATTCTTACTCTGGATATCTTCATCTCCATTTCCCTCAGGAATCCCAAATTCACTGCAACCAAAAGTGTATCTTTTCTATCCTGTGTCTTGATCCGTCTCCCTGTTTTCTTTTTTTAATGTGAAAAGACATTTTATTACTTTGCTATTATCACACAGTATTAAAGTGTATTTTCTCCAGTGGCAAATGAGGCAGAAGGTAACATTTCTCTTGGATTCTTCCATGAGCCTCAGTATCATCTGTCTTTCGGAGGATTCAGTTTCATATGATATCTGTGATTACAGTCCATGAGGATACCAGCGATGCTTGGTGGTGAAGAACATCTTGCTAAGTCATTCTATCGTGGGTCCTTGCTCAAGGTGTTCACTATTTTCTTCTAATCTGGTTTTCAGCACTTTGGACAGGATCTTACTGGGGGATGGGTCTTGTGTGGTCATATGGAATGTCCACAGAAGGGTGGTTGCATACTATTATCCTGCCATTAGATATCAGAGCAAGTTCTGCTTTGCTAGCCAGGCAGGGTGGCATATGGCTGTAATCCCAGTTACTCAGGAGGCTCATGGTGGTGGTGGGGGGACAGCAATGTGAAGCCCAGCCTAGGCAATTCAGTGAGACCCTGCCTCAAAATAAATGATGAAAAGGGCTGGAGATTCAGCTCAGTGGTACAGTGCTCCTGGGTTAAATGGAAGGAAGGAAGGATGGATGGTTGGAAGGAAGAAAGCAAGGAAAGAAGAAAAGGAAGAAGCCTCCCTGTTTTCTGTCTACTTGTCAGACCAGGAATCTTGTACACCTTTGTGATCTTAGCAGTTTACTTACTTTTCAAGTACCAGTTTAAATTTCACTTTCTCTGTAATTCTCTCCCTAACTAATTCAGGTAGAGAGCTAACAGTTCCCTTCCTCCTCTGAGCATTTGCTGTCCCTCACACTTTGTGGTCCTTGACACATCTGTGGTTGTGTGCTTGTCTGCCCTGTTTCTGGAGGGCAGAGACTGGATTAGCCACCCTTGTACCTCCTGCCCATAGCAGGCCCTGTCATTAGTAGACACCCAAGAGACATTTGCTGAATAAATTTTAATCCCAGTTCCAGTATTTATGAACTGTCATGGTTAATACAGTACAGTGAACTGTTTATTTTATTATTTTTTTTTAGTTTATTGGTACATTTTAGGTATACAGTACAGTTACATCATTACTGGGATCTTGTACCTTTACATGACAGGTCTTGGTTCTCATTTTTTCCCCTTATCCCTGCCCTCCCTTCGCCCCTCTTCCCCTCCCCATTTACAAACACTTTATTCCATTTTTTTCATTTTCTCATTTTTTCCCTTATTACCTTCCCCCATCCTTCCCACTTTTCCTACACCTTTAGCCCTTTTCTTCCTATTTCACATTGTCAATTATCTCATTAGGATCTTATGTAGAATTATAAGTTTTTCACACCAGAGAAACTATACAGTATTTATACATGTGTGACTTATTTATTTCACTTGGGAGTATAACCTCAATATGTATCCATTTTCCTATGAATGAATCTAATTTATCATTCTTTATGGCTGAGTAGTATTCCATTTTATAGAAAAACCACATCTTCTTTATCCAGTTTCCAGCTGATGGGCAAATGGGCTATTTCCAAGTTTTAGCTATTACAAACTGTGCCGCTCAGTGAACTGTTTAGATGGTAGATTTATTTTTATCGTTTTCCTATTGTCAGAAATTGAATGTTAATTTTTTTCCTGTAAGGTTATTGTGAAGATCCAAAAATAATGATATAGAACACTTTACTATGTCTTTTGTTTAATGTGCTTGACTGACTGAAAACATATAAAATCACTGTAATAAACTGCCCATTTGTTTAGATTTTTAAAAAATTGTTCAATGACTTAACATTTGCCTACTATAAATACCTATATATTGCAGGAAATTTAGAAAATAAAACATTTCAAACAAAGACTAAGGCTGAGGATGTAGCTTAGTCATAGAGCACTTGCTTGGCAAGGGCAAGGCCTTGGGTTCAATCCCCAGGTGCCATCAAGGAAAATAAAAATCACTTAAAACCATTCATAATTTCACCATAAGGTGTTATGAACAACTGATTTAGCAGTGTATTCTAATCTGATAGTTTCAAAAATTCTTCATTTTTATTCGTAATATGACAGTGTTTAATTATGTGAATAAACCTTTATTAATGAAACTTTGATTTTTTTTTGGTCTTATAGATAATGCTGCAATTAATATAAACAAGCATTGTTCATTTTATTTTATTTTATTTTTTTGGTATCAGGGATCTAACTTGGAATCTTGCGCTTGCAAGGCACATGCCGGAATCACTGAGCTAAATCCCTGGCCCTAAATTTTTTTTTTTTGGTACCGGGGATTGAACTCATGTCCTTGCATTTGTGAGGCAGGCACCGGAACCACTGAGCTAAATCCCCAGCCCTGGCCCTAAATTTTTAAAATGATCAATCAAGTGTTACTCTGCTAAGTGTGTAAGTGACTACAGAGTTGATTGATATAAAAGCTGATCAGCAAGCTATGTGAAGAAAGGCATTCTGGTCACCGTTAGAAGTAAGGAAAACAGTAGTGCTTAGGGGAGAGTGGGCTTGTCTGTCCTGGGAGTTTATAGAGCTCTCCAAAGTTCTCCAGTGAACAAGGCCTGGAGCAAAGGCTGAGAAACATGCCCTACCCAGGCGGTTCTTTGTTAGGGCTTGTAGTAGGGCGTAGGTCTGGGCCTCTGACTGGCAAGAATTTGTCCGAGAAGGAGGTTGCTCTTCCTTTTCTGCTTCTGAGCTCAGAGGCCAACCTCTGTTTTTTGGGAACAGGTGGAAGTAGAGCACATTTGAGAGGTGTAGAGAGGACTCTGGAACCAGATGTCGAGAGCAGGTACATCAGCAGAGTCCAGACAAACCAAGTACAGGTAAGACAGAGAGGCGCACAGATAACTCTCAGGGATTTCTTTTCACTCTGGGGATTCCCTTTACTGATTTCCTGTTTCCAGCATCCCATGTCTTCCTCTTGGCTTATGAATTTTGAGCCATATCCTTTTAATTTCCTGAGAAATGATGTGTGAGAAGTAAATTTTTGTGTTTGTCTAAAAATGGCTTTGGACAGGGAAAATAGCTCAGGGTTAGCCAGTGTGTGCTTAGCGTATGTGATGCCCTGGGTTCAGTTCCCCCCAGTCAAAAAGAAAGACTTTATTCTTCTACTACTTTTGATTAGCTGGTGATAGAATTTGGGATTGGAAATAATTTTCCTCTAGAATTTTGGGATATTGCCTTACTATCTTTTAGCTGCTCATGTTCCAGTTGAAAAATCAACATTCTGATTCCTGTTCCTTTATCACCTGATCTCTTCCCTCCTGCTCTCTCTTTTTTTTTCTTTCCTGGAAGCTTAAGGGAATTTTCTGTCTCCAAAGTTGAAAAATTCATGATGACAGGCTTTAGTGAGAGCTCTTCTCTATAGACCAGAAATTTTTCAGGATTGTGGGGTTCTCAGGAGCCCCTGCAGTTCTGTAAAGCTTTCTTTAATTATTTACTTTATCCCTTTCTGGTTTCTGTATTTTCTTTTTCTAGAACTTGTGCTGTTTGGATGTTTGATCTCCTGGACCACTCTTAATTCTCTCAACGTTTCTTTCCTGTTTTCCTAACAGCTTTAATTTCTAGGACATATTATCCCGAGATTTTATTCTAAAAAATTTTTAATCTACAAAGTTCTTTTTTGGGATACAGTTTCACTTTATAGCTTTTCTTGTAGTTCTTATGTGATATAACCTCTTATTCTCTTATGTATATTGCCTTTCATTTTTAAACCTTTTCTCAATAGTTTGTCTCCTCCAGGTTCGTCTTTGTTTGGTGTTGATCTTTCTTTCATGTTTTAGAGGCTTTATTCAGATGTTTTATTGTTCTTGGATATTGGCCCTTACAAGTGGGAAATTAGAAAACTGACTTGAAACTGAGAAAGCAGGTGGCCCCTTTGCAGTACCAGCTTCACTGTTAGGGTCACTGGGCCTGGCCATTTTTTGGGAGCCCCTGTTCTTATTATCTGTCCTCTACCCTCACTCTTAGCTTCTTTAGAAGACTTGACCAGTCCGCTGTTGATGATGGGGTTATTTTTAACTTTTCTGGTGTTTCAAGTAATGAAATCCTTATAAATATGCTTACAAAATAATATTGTATGTTTCTCTATGTAGATTTATAGAAGTAGTTGCCAAAATAAATTACATGTATGTATTTTATTTGATGTCACCAAAGTGTTGCTTCTCCTCCTGTGATATGTGAAATACTGTGTACCTTCAGTTTGCAGTAGCACTTTATAGGAGTGCACATTTCCTCCTCATGCCAGCATTGAGTATATTTAATTTTTTTAACTTTTGCCATCTAGTTGGCAGACAAATCATTGGTTTTGATTTATTTGTACTTAATTATCAGTAAGAATTAAATTTGCATTTCTTTTGGGAGTTACTGTCCATAATGCCCATTTTGATATAAATATTTTAAATTTTGCTGTTACGTATTTAGCTTGAAGGTTGGTAAGAAAATATGAGAAGTGTTTATAGTCATTCCAAGATCCTTATCTATAAATTTTTTTTCAGAAACTTCTGCATGTGTTTACATTGTAACATTATATTGTTTCTATCTGATCAGATTTTAACTTTACTAAAGTTGCCTGGTTATTGGTGTTGTAGTAATAACTGGGTAATACCATGTATTTGACATAAACACAGTCTTACAACAGAGCAGAAGGTGGGTTATACTGTATTTTGCACATGAGAATTAAGATTTGGAGAAATTAAGAAACTTGCCCCAATGTTTAATGTACTTTTTTAACAGTAATGCCAAAGGCAAGGAGTCTCGTGGCTAAGTTCTGGCCCCTGCACCACATTTCATAACATGTTTTACTAGTCACAGAATGAAGATGATTGTATTATCTGAAGCTAATTATGTTCTTAGACAATAGCAGGGTTTTTTTCTTTTTTAATCTAGACATGAACACAGAAGCAGAACACCGACTTCTCCATCACGCCAGAAACGGCAATGCTGAAGAAGTAAGGCAGCTATTAGAAATCATGGAGAAGAACGAAGTAATGGCTGACATAAATTGCAAAGGTGAGCACTGAATGGATTGTATAGCTTCCTCTCTGGAATTCTACACTACATACCCTGCCTTCAACCCTGATCTGCCTGGTCTTGCATGTGATAAATATCTTTTGGCAGAGCCTTCACAAGATTAGGTGAAATGTTTCTCTAATCCCTTCTAAGTCGGAGGAGTTGAGAGCCATGCTTAATTGTTGTGGATCTTAAGGCCTTACAAGTTACAAGGGTGAATCCATGGCATACATTCTCTCTGACATTTTTTTTTCCTTCCACACTGGGGATTGAACTGAGGTCTTAACATGCTAGGCAAGCCCTCTACCACTACTTGACATCCTCAGCCTTTTAAAAAATTTCATTTTGAGACAGGGTTTTATTAAGTTGTTGAGGTTAGCCTTGAAATCCTCCTGCCTCAGCCTCTTCAGTAGCTGGGATTATAGGCATGCACAACCAAGCTTGGCTGTTTTTTTCTTGAAGATATTGTAATTGAGCCAGCAGGTATGAGGGATTTCTATATGCTCCAGCATGTAAAGTACCTGGGAGATGATGAAGAATAGACAGACATTGAGGTTAGTCTACTAGATTAATAGGTCAGAGCAGTCTGCATTACAAAATAGGTGTCAGGACCTGGAAGTTCAGATGCCACGAGACCACAGGGGAGAGGTGTGTAACTGGAACTTGGAGAAAATGTTTCTAAGGTGATCTGTGAAAGTGTGTGTAGGAGTTCACCAGGTGAAGATTGAGAAGAAAAGGTTACAAGGCAAAAGCAGCAGCATGTGCCAAGGCCTGAGTAGAGAGGCAGAGTTCATGGCAAGGGCCCAGAGGTGGGCGGGAGAGAGAGATAAGGCTAGGTGGTAAGGAGCCACCAAATGATAATGTACCATGCAGAGCAAGGTTACAAACGTATCACAACCTTGCAGGCAGATATGCGGCGAAATAGAATTTATTCTCTAAAATGGTCTAGGATTTTAGCAAGTCCTTCACATTGCAGGAGTGAGGTGGGAGGGCTAAAAGTTAGTCTTTGGCTCCTGCAGTCCTAGTAGTCCCTTTGATAAACGCCTATCTCCCCTTCCCCACCATCTTCCCCGAATGGTCACTTTAGTGTAAAGTTGGGGCCTTGCTGTGTGTTCATGCAGAGAAGCCAAGGTGTCCTCAGGCCCACAAGGCAGCCTTTGGTTCCTCAGTGACCCTTGTCTATTTTTTTTTTTAATTGAGTTTATTGGTACTTTTTAAGTATACAGTACAGTTACATTCATCGTTGGATTTTGTACCTTTACATGACAGATCTTGGTTCTCATTTTTTCCCCATTCCCCTGCCCTCCCTTTACCCCCTCAGGCCTCCCCTATTTACAAAGACTTTGTTTCCATTTTTTCCTTTTCTCATATTTTTTCTTTTCCCCTACCCTTTCCACTTGACCCTTGTCTTCTTTCTTAGTGCTTCTTTGACTTTTTCTTTTTGGTACCGGGGATTGAACTCAGGACCTTGTACTTGTGAGGCAGGCGGCAGCACCACTGAGCTAAATCCCCACCTGCTTCTAGTGCTTCTTAAGCTGAGGTGAAATTCAGGTGTGAAGTTAAACTTGTATCTCTCAGTCTACCACACAAAATGGGTGGTGCTCTCTGGCCACCTCAGGAGACTCACCTGAGCTCTTGTTGGCTTTGAGGTGCCAGATCTCTTCGTATCTTTTTGTCTGACACCTGGCCCTGGCTTGGTGGTTCAGCTCAGTCACACTCATTGTATTAGAGCCAGGGAGTGGTAGCTGCCCAGTCCAAGAAGCTGCAAGCCTATGAGTGAGACAGACAGATACACAGATGCACAGAGAGAGAGAGACAGGACACCAGTGATGCCGGCTAGTCCAAGGCTGAAGGCCTGCAAGTCACCTTGAGAGCTGCCTATGCAATTCCCTACACAAAGACTAAAGAATCTGGAGTTTGTTACATGCCACAGCAGTGGCAGAAAATAACAACAGCAACAACGAAACAAAAACACCCACTCAGGCAGGGAGCTTCCCCCTTTTGCTTTGTCATTCCATCTGGGCCCCCAGTCCATTGGATGGTGCCATTCATACTCAGGGCAGGTCTTCCCCACTCAGTTGGCTGGCCCACGTGCCAATCTTCTGTGGAAACACCCTCAGAGACATGTTCAGAAGAATGCTGTACCAGTCTCCTAGGTATCCCTCACCTGGTCGTATTGACAGCCAGAACTAATGCTCACACTCCTCTCTGGGGAGAGTGGTGTGTGGGAATGTGTGAATAGGTGGGAGGGAGTTCATAGTGCTTGTGCTTCAATAGCCAGCTTGCATGTGGGTGCCAGGGTAGGTCTTTTCCTAGCATCTCAGGTGTAGCTATCCTGTTCTTAGTGTCTCCTGTTTAGCTCTCTTCCTGGGCTTGAGATCAGGAGCGATACCTCTCATCTTTATTTCCCTTCCACAATTCCTCTGTCCCAGGAAGAGCAGGCTTCAGGTGGACATATGGATATTTTATCACCCTGTGACATTCTCCTTCTAGAACAACAAACCTAATGAGAAAGGAATGTTATCTTTGCGGTAGGGGAGAAACTATAATCTGAGTGGTGTAGAAACTAATTGAGTCAGCTAAGGAATTTTAAAATTTATCTCCATCCTTCTTAGTATTTACTTCAGTATTCCATTTTGAATGCTAAAAATATTCCATCCTCCTTAATACTCTTTTCTGCCTGTCCTTTCCCCATCCCTGGTAGCCTCAGGCTAATTATTGGGAATCACCTACTTGGAAATGTGAAACTGAGAAATATGTATTAATTTTTTCAAAATGTCACCTCATTATTCCTGTCAGCCTCTGTCTTAAGGGCAGTTTGAAGGGTTTATGTAGGGGAGTGACATAATCAGATGACATACAGGTTTGTGACCCAGGGGCATGGGCAGATTGGGTATATGTCCTGTTTCCATGTGGGTATTCCTTCGTGGCATTTCTTGGCTTTCTTACTTGTTTCTAATGCTGAGATGCTGGCAAAATGGTGTAAAGTACTACAGTTTTCCTGTAAGACTTAAAAATTAATACCGCAAAGATGTTATCGTTGGGAGAATCCAGTGATGTCAAGTTGAACATGGGAGAATGAAGCACTGACATGTCCTAGGCACCTAAGGCTGGGCTTTCTGGGGTCTGGTGTGGAGGATCTAGCTAGTTGTGCTGGTTGCTGTTGCCATACTATGTGTGTGCTTGTGGTCCTGTCTATTGCTCATGTGAGTTGTTCTTGTAAATAAAGATATGTAAATATTAATGTTTATGTACACAATATACTTCATATAAAACTGTGAGTGCTGTCCTAAGGAATAAGTTTCAGAAGCAGAATAAGAACATATACTGGGGGCTGGGGATTTAGCTCAGTGGTTCTGCCACCTGTCTTGCAAGTGCAAGGACCCAAGTACAATCCCTGGTCCCACCCCCATAAAGAAAGAAAAAGAACACATACTGGTAGTCTCAACAACCTGATTCTGTGTAGTGCCATTATCTTGCTAGGATGTCCAGATGTGAAGTTACTCAAATAATATCCAATAATACCTGCTGGTGTTTTTCACCATCTTAATATTCTGTATAGGGAGGGCTCTGTTCTTTGTAAATACTTAAGAATTTAATATTTCTTATTCATTGAAACTTCTTTTAGATATCTAAAGAGTATAAAGAATATTTGAGGTATTTTTAGGATAACTTATGATTTTGCAGATTAATTTCTTGATCCAGAATCCTACTTGGAAACACTAGATGTGAGAAGAGCAGATCAGAAACTGTTCTGATTAGTTAGGGGAGCCTATTGTGGGTTAGACAGGAACAGAAGCAGTGGGAGTAGAGAAAAGTGGATGTAATTAATTAATTAATAGTGTGGAAGCAGAAGCGATAGAATTTACTGAGTAGGAGTGAAAAGGAGGAAGGAAAAGGCAAGTGTGGTGATGATGTCTAGAATGAAAAATGAGCTAATTGGTTACAAAAGCACAGAAGGAGAATGGATGCTTTCTTTGTGCAGAGCGAAGGATGAGCTCGGCTTTCTACACTGAGCAGGAGGTACCTGTGTCATCCACATAGAGGGAATGCACTAGTAGAGAGTCGGGTGTGGGAATCTGGATTCTGAAGTCAACAGTATGTAAACAAAGTAGTGGGAGAGGATCAGAAAATGCCATTAAAAAAATTGACAATAATGAACCAATTGGAGAAAAATAAATGATCTTCTAAAGGATGCTTGGAGAAACTTGTAGAGATGTGGAGAGAAACATGGAGTGCAGGGCTGTGGCAGCCAGGGAGGTCTGCTGTACTGTCCAGTGCTGGGCAGTGAGGGGGCGGCAGCACAGGGCCTCTGGGGTTCTGTGGCAACAGTTTGGGTTCAAGTTGAGGACAGCGTTAATGACAAGTGGGAGATAAAGCGGGGCTGTAGTGGATGGGAAGGAACAGGTGGAAAGAGCAAGGGAAGACTGGAAGTGGGAAGTGACTGGGAGGAAGATGTCTGGTAGAGAATTTGGCATGAGAGAGGGTTGATTGTTTTTTGTTTATTTCTGTGAGTAAGTAACTAAAGAGGGAGAAGAGTACCGGAGAACCAGGAAGGGACAAGCTCCCAGTGAAAACTTCTATAAATAACAAAAACCTAGCCCGCACACCTGTAAGCCAGCATTCGGGAGGCTGAGGCAGGAGGATCGCGACCAGCCTGGGCTACACTGAATTCCAGAGCAGTCAGAACTACGTAGTGAGACCTCTCTCAAAAAACTAAAACAAAACACAACAAAAACCTATAAAGTGTTACAATGTAAAATGGCTTCTGCTGTCTCTAAGAGCAGTTTGTTTAGCTCAAAACTAATAGGCACCCAAGACACTAATTGCTGAATGAGGCATTTGGTCTTACCCTGAGATAACAGGGCACTTCAAGGCCTTGAGCTCCGATGAGAGTGGAGCCACCTGATTGTAAGAGTGTCTAAATGAAGGAACCCATTGCTAACATTTGCTCCCCTGACCCTGAACAACCCCCCTTGCCTATGGACTAGAATAGATAACTTAGGTGAATCTTAAAGGTAAACTCCCCAACTGCAAAGAATTGCTACGTCTGGGTTGAAAAGATTAACTGTTCTGTGACCGTGATTTGAACTGTGAGAATGAAATGTAACCACCCAAATGAAGTCAAAGCTGTGAAACCCTATAAAAGGAGGAGTTGTAACCCAGTGCATCATCGATCCAGGCAACGGCTTATGTGCGATTGACCCTTATCGATGAGTACATTTGTTATTTTACTTCCATTCTGCTGCCTCTCTGTGTGTCATGGATTCCTTCCTTGACATCAGGAGGGACGTATGGCAGATCAGTTGCTGGTAAGCCAAGTTCTGTGAAAGCTTCCGTTTTTATTGAGAAGCTAACAGATGAGGTCATGCCCAACAGACAAGGGCCTGAGTGGGAATCTTGAGGAGACTAACAAACATACTGAAATACCTGTGGTGAAAAGACACCTGACCACGGGATCACCAGAAGGATTGCCTAGCCTGAGTGTGCAGTCTGCGAGCCTGATCTTGTGTTACCAGGGATCCATGGGGGGCTAGCTTCACTATTGGTTAGCGGCCCCAGTATGGTTATGAGCTAGTGGATTTGTCAGGCTTTGGGGGGTTTTCTAGGCTGCTGTGACAAAGATAGTAAAGCAAGGGTATTGGTAAATATTGACATATGGGGTCAAGGACTGTATACCGCATTTATCAATAGATGTTAATTTGGGGGCTGTTTACATACATGAAGAGTGATGAAGGGATGATGGGCCAATAAATGAAAGAACAAGTCCTACTAGTGAACAAGCTGGCAAGTTGGCAGTTTGCGGGAAAGTGGCTTTCTGTGTTCATAGTGATGCCCAGATGTTGGCTGTGGTGGTGAGTACCTGGCATTAAGCAGAGGCATAGTTTTGTGGCAGACTAACTATGGTCAGCTTGGAATACCCAGCTGAACTGAATCAGCATGGTTGGGTATGGAAGACCCACCTGAGGTCTGTGGCCAATGGCATAAAAAGAGAACTGAAGGAGAAGATTATGGATTATTGATTTTCTAGGAGAAGCTTGCTGTGGATGGTTTTTCTGATGCTAACTTGGCTCTTCTTGTTGGAAGAGGAGCTTGGGGCCTCGCTGATGGCTGCTGTTCTCATCTGATCTTCATTGTGAGCATCACTTCCTGGCTCCTGTACAGCATCCCTCAGCCTAGTGGCACAGATCCTTCACCACTCTGGCCCTTGGGTCTTCCCTGTGCAGATCCTCAATACAGACTTGCATGAGACGTTGCCGTGGGCTCTTGGCCGCTGGCTGGACTCTGAAGGACATTGCCTTGGGCTCTAGGCCTTCAGCTGGACTTGTGTGGGATATTGCCTTGGGATCCAGGCTCTTGGCTGGATTCTTTGGGTCTGTAGTGTGCAGCTAATCTCTTGCACGCCTCTGCATCTGACTTTTTGGGTGACTAATATAAAATAACCCTACAAATTATGTGTAGTAAATTTATTTCCCTTGCAGAACCCCAAAACTACAACAGTTTGTAAGAAAGAAGGAAAGCTGAGAGACTGAGACCAGGATACTTGCCCAGGCAGTAGGTCCCCCAGAATGCTGGTAGATTTTGTAGTAGGGGAGGACTCTGCTTGGTTACTTGGCAAGGGCTAAGCTGCTGGAATGCTGGCAGGTGGCAGCAGAGGAGGCATTTGAGGGAGCGGTGGTTCAGGGAGGGCTTGTAGCATGAGTGGAGAAGGTATTGACCAAGGGTGGCCGTGGGTTTTTGACGTGGGGTTCTGCTTCTGTTTAGTGGGGATATGGAAGTCGGGGGCTTCACTTGAGGAATAAGAGGGTAGGGATCTTATCAGGAGGAGCTAGTTTTAAGAACAGCAGGCAAAGAAATGTCTGGTGAAATAGGCTGAGCTCTGGCATTTATTGACTGTAATTAGTAGTTCCACAGGGCACACGTGTAAGAGGAAACAGATGCAGCGGTTTGGGTAAATAGCAGGCAGTCACAGACATGCTGCTGGCAACTGTAGTGTCACATGCGTGTGTGTGTGTGTGTGCGTGCGTGTGTTGGGGGAGTTGTTAGCACTCTGTTGTAGATGCTGTAAGGTTGGTGGCTGAAGACTGTCAGTTCAGAACCTGAAGTTCAGGAGCTGAGTGCTGAGCGTACTGCAGTCCCCTTCAGCTGTTAAGCTGCAGCCAGCCCCTCTGGGGTGGCCCACGGGGAACAGTGTGTGCCTGGATTGTAGATGCTAAGGTTGGTGGCTGAAGACTGTCAGTTCAGAACCTGAAGTTCAGGAGCTGAGTGCTGAGCGTACTGCAGTCCCCTTCAGCTGTTAAGCTGCAGCCAGCCCCTCTGGGGTGGCCCACGGGGAACAGTGTGTGCCTGGGCTTTGGGAATCTGATAGGGCTATAGTCTCTGCATCCTGATTTAGAATTTCAGTTTGGAGCATCTCTGCTCTAAGCAGTAGTGGTCTTTATGTTTTTTGCTAAATTGTGTAGCTTTCATTGTTGCAGTATTCATTTGTCTCTTTTTCTTTCTTTTGGTCCCGGGGACTGAACCCTGGTCCTTGTGCTTGTGAGGCAGGTAGTGGCACCACTTGGCTAAATCCCCAGCCCAGTACTCATTTGTCTTATTCCTTTCTCTGGCTGTGTGGCTAGAGTCTGACATTTCACTGCCTTTATCCTTGGTTCTGGTTATCTAGTTGGATTCTCAGCACTCTGGTAAATCAGTATCATCATTAGCGGAGATTTTATCTGCAGTCAGACACTATTTTCAGTCCCTGCCCCTGGAGCTATCAGTGTTCCCAGTGCTGCAGGAAGGACTCTAAAGTCCTTTTGGGGTACAGATTTTCAGAGTTGCTGTGCACTGCCCTTAGCGCCTTGTGTACAGGTTTCAAAGAGAATTGCTTCTTGTGAAATGTTGCGCCAAGAGAACAGTGTCTTTGCTAGATGATATCCAAATGGTTAAAGACTTAAAGCTTTAGAGCCAGCAAGTTACTGGATGTGAGGTGACTTGACTGTAACCTTGTCATGTCCCCTGTGCCCTTTTAGGGATGAAGATGTGAAGTCAAAAAGTGGCTTGAGGGCTGGGGATGTAGCTCAGTGGTAGAGCACTTGCCTAGCATGTTCCAGGCCCCGGGTTTGATCTGCAGCACCACAAAGAAAAAATGAGAAGGCAGCTCCAGACCTGGGTCTTGTGAGTTCTAGTCCATTGTGTTTGTCATTCTCCTTCATGTCCTCTTGCTTCTCCTTCACCAGCAGCACAGGGTGTAGGAGAACCACTGGCCAAGATATTAAAGTAGCTTCATGGGAAGAAATTCAGTTTATTGTAAAACTACCTGCCTAACATTTAAAAATGCCTTATCTGCTTCCATTTGTAGGAAGAAGTAAGTCTAATTTGGGCTGGACGCCTCTTCATCTGGCATGCTATTTTGGACATAGACAAGTGGTCCAGGATCTGTTGAAGGTCTATTTATGGCTTTAATTTTTTTAATGACCGTAATAATTATTATGGAAACTATAAGATGAAAGTCTTAGAAAAGCCGACTGAGCAGTAGTAGCTTATTTAAAGTAATAGTTCATCATTAAAGACATTTAATTTTTCTTTACTAAATATATGAATTACATAAGCCTGATGACTTAAAAGTCTGTTTTTAATAATTTTATGTAAGTGGCTTTTAAAAGAGGTAAATTTGGTTTTTTGTTTTTTTTGTTTTGTTTTGTTTTGTTTTTGAGACAGGGTTTCATGATGTAGTTCAGGATGGCCTTGAACTCACTCTGGTCCAGGCTGGCCTGCAACTCATGGTGATCCTCCTGCCTCAGCTTCCTGACTGCTGGGATTACAAGCATGCACCATAATGCCTGACTCAAATTGGGCAAATTAATGAAGATACAATCTTAATTTTTACACATATTACAGTAGAAAAAATAATAAAAGCATATCCTTAATTAAATAATATTGCAATCTCTTACAACCATATTTAATGAGAATTGAGACTTTGTATTTCTCAATTCTCTGAATAATTTTTCACATAGATATTTTTGAAATTGTGTTACATATTTGAATTTATATGTACATTTATATGATTTTTTTTTTAATCTCAAAACTTATTAACTTGACGGTGGAAGAAATATATTACATTCAGAGACAATTCCTTTTTCAGTATAACTACTTTTAGAGTAAAGATGTATAGATTTTTAAAGACAAATACCTTCTTATCTGGTAGATTTTTGCCTTTCTGGAAACCTATTTCTTTTACTATAAATTGATTTAATTAGTAGTGTCAACCAAACGACATTAACAGTTGTTTTAATTTCTGAAATACTTCATATATCCTGATATGTGAAAGATATTTGAAGTTTTCATGTTTTCCAGGCCGGTGCGGAAGTGAATGTGTTAAACGACATGGGAGATACGCCGCTCCATCGAGCTGCTTTTACAGGAAGAAAGGTGAAAAATGTTCTACTCTTCAGTGTTTGCAAATGAAATCTTTGGGAGAGGAATCACTACTGTTTGCTCTTTTAAAACTGTATGGCCAGCAGCTGGAAAAGGCCATAAAAAAATGTAAAAACCAGCTCTTTGGGTCAAAAGTGTGCAGGATCTTACAGCTGGACAGTGAACTGTTTCCTCAGGTTATGAGACTCCCTGCATCACCTCGACAGGACGTCATTCACTCTGCTTGTGTGCTCCAGCAGTGGGGACCTCCTGTTATTCCTTTTCAGAAATAGCTTTGGGGGGATTGCTGTATAATTTACACTGCATAAAACTCCTTTACTGACAGTGCACATTTCCATGATTTCTGTTTCCACAGTCATACAACTGTGATGGTTAATCTTGACTGTCAACTTGACTGGTTTGAGAGACGCGTAGGAGGTAGCAGAGGCCTATTCACATCTAGGTGATCTTGGGGATTCTGTCTGGTTCTGGCCTCTTCCTGCTCATTCTCTGCTTCCCAGCTGCTTTGAGATGAACAGCTTTCCTCTCCCGTGCTTGTGAGCTGTGCTGTTTCTGCTTTGAAGTAAGCCAACCTTAGACTGAAGTCTGAAACTATGAGCCACAATAAACCTTTTCTTAATGAAAAGCTGACTCATGCAATAGCTGTCACCACAATCCAGTTTTAGAACATTTTTGTAATCCCAGAATATTTCCTCTGCTCTATTTACATTCATTTCCTGTGCTAATGTCCCAGGCTACCATTCATATTTCTGTCTCTTCATATTTGTATTTCCTAGAATTTCTTATTAATGGAATCATATAACCTTTTATGTCTGTCTTTAATTGACCCCCATGTTGTGTTCAAGTGGTAACCTGTATCAGTAGTTTATCCTGCTTTTTGGCTGAATCATATTCCACTGAGTAGATATAACAACATGTATTGGTAGGACTATTGTTTAATGGTATTGCCTTGGCATATATTGGAAAATGGGCTGAACATAAATGGAAACATTTATTTCTGGATTTCCAACTTTTTTCCTTTGATCTGTATGTCTATCCTTACATCATGTTTTCAGCCTACAGACCTTATACTCCCTTTGTTAAATTTATAACTGGCCTGGCCTTTGTGGAATTGGAAATGAGTCTGGCCAGCTGATATCTTTGCTCAGTTTAAAAAGAAAATTAAAAATATTTAGCATAGTTTTCTGGTACCCCTGCATCTAAATAGCTTAGTGATCAGCCAATGTTTGGGCAGTGAAGCACTCAAGTACTTTTCCCCATAGGGCTGCTACCCTCTGCCCATGGACCTCTGGGTTAGAGAATGTCTTCCACGTTCAGGCATTTCTCACCTCTCCCTCTGCTCTGACTTTCTCACAACTACACGTGGGTGATGTTTTCTAGCAGATGAGGGGGTTGGGAAGCTAACTGGCTCTTTCTGCGCTTCTTTCATTTCCAGGGTTTCCCTCTTATGTGTCAGACTGTTTTGGTATTTGCTCTTTGTGGTCAAGTAATGGTCCCCAAACATTTCTGCCTCCTTGTCCCTGAAATCTGAATGGTTCAATTCCGTACCAAAGAGACATTAAAGAGGCAGATGTAGTTGAGTTGCTGATCAGCTGAGTACAGGAAGGAAAATTACTTTGTTTTATTTGGTATAATCACAACAGTCCAAGAGGTGTGAAAGGTAGGAAGGAGTTAGAATCAAAGGGCAATGATGTGGCCAGTTAGATACAGTGTTTCTGGCTTGGGAATCAGGAGGAGGAGGCCATGAGCCAAGGAATGTTGATTACCTCTGGAAGCAGAAAAGCAAGGAAAGTTCTCTCCCAAAGCCTCTGGAAGAAGCCAGCTCTGTAATGCATTGCTTTACCCAGCTAGCCCCATTTTATTTAGACTTCTGAAATATAGACTTGTAGGGTTATAATTTGTGTTGTTTTAAGCTACCAAGTTTGGTGGTTTGTTATACCTGCATTAGAAAACTCATAGGAAAAGCAACATTATGCTGCCAGTTCTGTGGGTTTTCACATTTGTTTCTTAATGAATTTGCTACTTTTACTAATAATGCCTCTTGGTGTTGGTTTTTGCCTTGTATTCCAAATCAAGTCAGTTCCCCTGGCAGCAGGGATGGGCAGACTTTTGAGAAAGTGGGTATGGGGGTGGGAGTGGAGAGTGAAACAGTGGGGTGGCGAAGTGGCAGAAGAGGCAACTGCCTGTGGTTAGTGAGCTGAAGACTCCTGATGTTCTTACCTGAGGTTCTAGCGGTTTGTGTCCTTTAACTGCTTTGCTTCATTGTTTCTTTAGTGAATATCCATCCAACACCATGAAAGGGTTTGTTCTGGCAGTTTTGTCCAGTTTTTATTTATTCTTCAGGATAGCAGTTCTCTGACCTCTTAGTGTAGCCAGAAGTTGCTTCCCACCCTTTCATGACTTTATTGTTTATTTAAGAATTCTGGTAAATTAAGGCATAGAATAAGTTTACTCTTGGTTACTCTGATAATTGACTATTGTCCAACATGATCCCTAAGGGTTATTTTGTATCACATAATTGGATGTAATCATGTCCATCACAAATTAAGCATGAATTTTATATTGCTTCATACTTTTCATTGTTTCTGTATAAATTATCATGAATAAATATATATAAATTATCATGTAAGTATGTACTGAGCATGTTCGGATTACATAGCACATTTTACGTCCCTGTGCATTTGTCATCATTTGGTACTTAGGAGACAGGAAGTCTTAACTAAAGCTGTGAAAAAAGTACTTTATAAAAAGAACAAAAATTGTAGTAGGTTAATTGCCATATGTGACTCTATTCAAATATGAGCTATAAGGCCGGGGATTTAGCTCAGCGGTTTGGTGGCCTGCCTTGCAAGCGCATGGACCCGAGTTCAATCCCCGGTACCAAATATGATCTATAAATTGTTTGATCTGCCAACCCAAGTGAGAGCCACTTGCTGTTTCCCTTCGTAGTCCAGGGCTTCTCCTTTTCTGAGAACCTCAGCAAATTGTTTTGCCACCTCTTCCCACACACCTGTCTATCCTTGAAAGTGCAGCTCAAGGGCTGGGGATTTAGCTCAGTGGTTCCAGCGCCCAGCACCTGCCTTGCAAACAAAAGGACTGAAGTTTGATCCCTGGTACTGAAAGGAAAGAAGGGAAAGAGGGAAGGAGGGAGGGAGGAAGGAAGGAAGGAAGGAAGGATGGAAGGATGGAAGGATGGACGGACGGATGGATGGACGGACGGACGGACAGGCAGGCAGCTCAAATTCAGTCTCTTCTGACTTGTACTGGGAGGAAGCAGTGCTTCTCCAGGTTTCCTGGTTGCATGACAGCATTTTCATTCATCTTGTTCCTCGTATTAGAGTTACAGCCATATGTGTTGTAACTCTCCTACTAAGTTGTGTTAATCTTCCTCACAAGGAATTAATACATTGTATTTATTTTTATCTTGCAACATGAGATGTTAAACCAGGCCTCCATTTGGTTGAGGTATGTATTTTGTTATCTATCCAAAAGATGGAAGCTGAAGCTAAATGGTTGCATCACATAAAAATATTAACACATTTATGTGCTTTATTAGGCATGAGTACATGAGGTAAAAAGGTTAGTACATTAGTGACCCCTAGTGTTCCTTTGTGAAAATTAGTATGTCAGAATTTTTAAATATTTACCATTTGCTTTATTATTCAGGTACAATTAGAATGCTGAAGTTTTTGTGCCTTTTATGATAAAATCAGTTTAAAACAGGGACACAGTCAATATAGTAAATATTTGGATTGTTGCACTGACCTTTATTTTTTAGTGGAATTGAGAATGCATTAAAAACAAATGCTTTCTATATTTCGTTGGCACAGTTGCTTCATTCATTGGTAAAGGACAGAAACGTTGTATTCTCTGGGGCGCCAGCTGAGACAGGTTTCATGGAGCAGGTTTACTGAGTGCTGTGGGATCACACCCATGGCAGGTGCAGGCCTGGGGAAGGTTAGAGTCAGGCAGTGCTGCAGTGTCAGGGTGCCGCAGCCCACTGTGTAGGGAATGCTGCAGAGGAGGCCAGGCCTTTATAGTGCTGGGACAGCCACTGGTTACAGGCTACCCTGGAAAGGAGGTGTGAGCTTGTGTGGCATGGTGCTGTCCAACTGAGCTGATCCCTGGCATGCTACTAGCTGAAGGCTGCCTCCTGGCCACTTTTGGCATCTGGCATAACAGGTACTATATTCCAGAGGGGAAATCTGTGCAGCACATCACAGCTTCCACTACAGCCTATCCTTTGTTCTGCTCAGATCTGCTTTCTCATACACGTGTGAGCAGTTCCTTCACATGCCAGTGGGCCTCTTCTCTGGGAGAAATTCAGAAGACCAAGGCCAGTGGTTGCTACAATAGAATCATTTTTTCCCTTCTGTGCTAGCCATGTTAGGTTCACACTCCCCTTCATTAGTGCACCATTTAGCTTTGTGGCTTACCTAATGTTACGGCTTGGTTCCCTGGAGGTCTGAGGCCATGGTTACCATGTCCTTTGTAAGCTAGGGATGCTACCTTTGTCTGTTTACTGTCAAAATTGGATGTGAGAATACCAAGAGACCCCTCAGTGTATCGTCTGCCATGCTAAGTCTGTTCTCCATTTCCCTTTAGGGTTCAGCTCTCCTTCCTTCTGATGATCAGGTTCAATTACCTCTGCTAAGGTGGAGACTTTTCTTGCTTGCTGGTCCATTGACATAGTGAATGAGCCCACTTCAGCATTTTTTGCCTTCCTAGCATGTGACTCAGAGCATTGTCTTTGGGTGTGGAAAACACTAGCACAGAACCTGAAGAAGCCAATGAATTATTGTGCCGTTTTCTTTTATGGGAGGTACACAATGCAATAATTTCTTCTTTTTTTGAGAGGGTTTTATTATGTATCCTAGGCTGGCCTCAAACTCTCAATCTTCCTCTCAGCCTTCTTCAGCCTCTTTTTTTTTTTTTTTTTTTTTTTTTTTTTT